CATTGAAGCAACTGCCATGTGATTGGTTGATTAGATAATTGCGTTAATGAGAAATTGAACAGGTGTTCCTAATAATCCTTTAGGTGAGTGTATATATATATATATATATATAAAAAATCACGGTCTCCTCTATATTAATTTGGCTGAGTACACTAAATTAACACACATTACTGGCATAGGCCAACTAAAACCAATCTGCACATATTCATTATATGCATGGAGAGTAAACGTCCCAAGGTTGGATTGAGTTTATTGCCCCAAACCATGAATTAAAATTCATGTAATTTTAAGTGGAACGCTGTTTAAAAACAGATTAAAACACTTTAAAGCTGTAAATTTGACACTGGGGAGGGCATATCAGTTTTTCCAGCTAGAAATTTAACAAATGCCCGAAACAGCGTTGATCAGTTCCTTAACCTCGCAAAAAAAATACATTTTTTAGCCGTGTGATCTTCAAAGCTTGGCGGCGGCGTTTTAAGTGCCATAATGGAGAATACCTGCCCACAGAAACTCAGTATTTTATGAAACACTATTTGTTGCGGTGTGTTATGATTGGAGCTGTTTACTAGCCGCTCGACGGGCTAGTAAAATGTACTTGAATGTCATCGACATGTTTATTTTTAAAGACATAATGACGCGTCCACATCGTAAAGAAGCGACACTGGCACACTTACGGCTGATTTTAAGGAAACCTCCGTGAAAGTACGAAAGATTCATGCTGTGAATGCAGCGACATAAAGCCAAAAGGGCACCAACATCGCATTTTGAAAATACAGCACTAGACTTTCAGTGCGGACGTTTTGTTTCAATGTTTACACAATGAAGGATTGTATGCAGCAGCTTTCGTTTGCTATGTACGTGTTCTGGTTTGGATTTTGAACGAATCTGAGTTTCCCCTATTGTGTCTGTATTGATTAATTTCACACTTCTTTCTGTCAGCCTTGATCGTATGTCTGTAATCTATATCACTCTAGTGTTTCTTCTTTCGGCAAGGAGAATCGGAGTTGTCCTCGGGGTATTTTTGGAGGTGCTATCGATTTTTTTACCCTCAGTGGCAAATTTCTGATGATGCAGCTACCGTTTGGTTCATTAAGAAGAAAATTCTTATTTAGGGGTTAAATTCCCTAGTTGTACTTGGACCACAGAGCCGACTTTTTTGCAACACCTTCAGCTTTGCCCTGATGAGCTGCTTCTAAATGTACAATAAACCCTCTGGTCAAACCTCTGGTATCCTTCATACACTGTTGCATGGCACATATATATATATATATATATATGTTATACAACTAAACTAACTTGTAATCTTAATATCTAGTAGTAAGAAAAAATTAAGCTACCGCCTATGGGCTTTTAAAACCAAGTTCAGCACAAGTTCAACAGTAGGGTTTTCTAGTTCCCCTTTGAGACCCATTGTGCTCTATATCCTCAAACTCAAGTCACTGAATTCTGGGTGTGTTATCTGCATTCTTTTCCAGAATATTGTTTTCAATCATACAAGCAGTTTGTTCAGGAGTGTGCGTGTGTGCACACACACACACACACGAGAACTGAAATCCAAGTATTTCATGTGGTCACTCATTTGTCATTACAGAAATATAGCAAACCCTCCACCCTTAAACATTAAATTATGATTGCCATGAGTTAAGACAGACTTAAGTTACTTTTTGATGCAATTTTAAATTATTCACAAGCGCCCCCTAATCAGACAGCAGATGCTGCCCCCTATCTAATAAAAGCAGTACCGCTTGGGTGTTTTTTTTTTTTAAAGAAAATCATACAGGCTCAAACATGATTCCAAACTTTATTATTGTGTTTACATAAAAGCATAATCTACATTCCAACATATGCAATGTCCTCCCCATCTAAACTACTACATTTAATGGAAAAAAAATCACTTTCTATAAAGGCTTTAAAATACTATTTAAAAAAGTAGAGAAGTTGTTTTAAAAAAAAAAAAAAAAGGTCACAGCACCTGGAGGATAATTCTGCAAGCTGCCCTGCTTTTAAAGACCTGTCAGTTTCATTACCTAACCCTACAAAAACGTCCTCCATTAAAAACAAGATTTGGTTCATACAAAACAAGTCATGAGTGTTCTGCTTTCACAAAAATAAATGTATCAAAATGGTTTACAATCTGCAGTAAAAGATTCACACACGTTTGATAATATGAACTAAAACAGTAGAAAAAGATTAGTTCAGCTCCATTTGGGCTGGCAGCTGAAAGCACGCCGGGTGAGAGGAGCAGCGGCTGCTGGCTCACATGATGATGCAGCCTCTCTTAGTGGCACGGGGGTCTCCCTGGAAAAGACAGATACCCTGGTCAGATGGTCACCACAAACCGGTCAGTGATGTGCCAGCGATCCGGCAGATTCCCAGCTGAGTTTCAGAAAGACTCAAATGTCAACTGATATCATTTCCTGTGCATGAATCACGCAAACTCAGAAAGTATCTGAAATACGAATTTCACATATTACACTTTTGACCTTATTCCACCGTCCCACTGAGGTAAGGCTTCTTTACTCCACATCTCCGGTATGGAGGGAGAGAGAGGATGTGCACCCTGAGTTACTCACCTGCTGGTGAAAGAGGTCCTCCTCAATTACCTCAACTTCACCTTCATCTTCTTCATCCTCTCGTTCCTCCGGCACTGCAGTCTTGAAAATAGTGGTTCTGAAGGCCACTTCCTGTGAAGGGAGGGCATCACAAGACTATAACCAAGCACCAGGTGAAGGCACCCGGCCAAGCCTACAGCTCTCTGGCAGTGGAGCGGAGCCAAGCCGTACCTCGCCTTGGGGGCTCTTCAGAACCACCCGAACGTCCTGGCCAGTGCCCCAGGAGGTCTGGTTCTTCCAGATGAGGTCAGTGGGGGGGCTGGAGCTTACACCAGCATTAGAGGCCCAGATCTGATAAGACATGGAGGATAACATGGATGCCTCCACTACACAGGATAGAGATGCCAACATTTGTGTTGCCAATTGGTCCTTTCAAAAGCAAGGAGACGGTCGCTGACATACCGTGACTTTCTGTCCTGCCCTCAGGAGGTATTTAGGAGTGAACTTGTAGGTAGCTGAGGTATCTCCAATGGTTCTGGTTAATTCGTAACCTACCATTGGCTGGTCCTGCAAGGAAGGCGTCAGAACATTGAGGATAAATCACTCATGTTCCAAGGTACTGGGTAAGACCAGTGACAGTGATAAGGACGTTATCCGACTGCATCTGTGGAGGTGGGCGTGCAGAAAGGGGCAAAACAGAAACCTGTTTGGGCTAAGCATGTTTGGCGCTCACCTCCTCGGAGGTGTTGTGCAGCCGGATGAACTTCCCATCCACGTCCAGCTCGTCGATGCAAACGCTCCCTGTGGCGGAGGCAGAGTGAGCGATGCTGACGCTGCTGCTCGCCTCCGACTCCTCCACATCCACACGCTTGCGCTTCCCACGTGTGGTGCGCACACTGCGACTGGAGGAGGCGCGGGACACGGTGACACGGGACGACGGGCTGGGGGATAGCTTCAGCCTGGGGGGGGGGGGGGCCTTAGCAGTGAGCCACACACAGACAAGGCTGCTGCTATTATACATATAGGATGTTTTTGACACAATCCAGGAGTTACTCGACCTAAAAGCTTGAGGTATTGTTTACTTTCTCCACACCAGATGGTCCCTCAGATCTTTAACGCCGGGAATAAGCACTCGGTCTAGCTACCATTCCCATCCCGGGATTGTTAATCCCTTCCAGTAAAGTACCTTGCTGTAGGCCCTGCCTGGGACTTGCACCAGCACGTCTGCGCTACCTGCTTCCCTGTGCTACCCCTGCTTTTAAAGACATCGAGGGAAGTAAGAGACTGATGGTTCTGGGCCCGGCAGCAAGGGGGCCCTGGTGTTGGCGCACGTCCACATCACCTCTCCTCCTCGCCCTCCAGCAGCTTCCTGTAAGCATTGATCTCCATGTCCAGTGCCAGCTTGACATCCAGCAGCTCCTCATAGTCGTCCAGCTGCTGCTGCATTTTGGCGCGGATCTCGGCGATCTCACGCTCCTTCTCGGCCAGGGTGCGCCGACCTGCATCCCTCTCCTGAGCCAACGCCGTCTCCAGCTCATTAATACGGTCCTGCCAGCCACGAGCCTGCAGGGATGGGGAGATTGTGAATCGATGGGAACCTGGAACCTGACCCTAGCTCTTTACGGGGTAGCAACTCTTGACAACCAGCTGCATTAAAAGTATTGCAAGACTACTTCAAACTCTTGCACTTGCACAGATAAACAGAAGTGCAAATTTAGGCACTCCTGGTGACAGGCCACGCCTGGAAGAGCCCTCACCTCCTTCTGCAGGCTGGCCAGCTGGGCAGCAAGGCTCTCCACTCTCAGACGAGACTCCTTCAGCTCCTCCCGGGCCAGGCTGGCCGAAGAGCTGCTCATCTCAGACGACAGCCGTGTATTCTCGAGCTGAAAATTGCAAGTTAGGGTACCGTCAGTACAGATGAAGCGTCACCGTGCACTCCGGCGATGGACGATCAAAATGAGGAACTGGGCATGGCAAGAGCAGGCCGACGATCTTAGCAAACCGCAAAACAGGAAATCAGTCACATTTCAGGATGCGACAGTCGAGTTGTTCTTCTCTGCTGCCAAGCTGCGAATGTACAGACCTTATGAAAGCGAACAGACAGGACGAGCATGTTTACATGCAAGCTCCATAGACTGAAATGCATACAGCTCCCAACCTGAAGGATACACCCATTTCCCTTTACGAAAAGAACATTGTAGAGGCTATGCAAGTCAACACTGTTCCACTCAATCCATCCATCGTGCAGCTTGATTGCTTATGTCAGAACTTGTACCAGTTTACCTCAACGAAGCTTGCACAAAAGACCAGAATTTTCCAAGAATGCTACTTTATTATGATTGACTGAGCACTCCGACTTCCCTTATCAAAGTCATAAAAGATTTGATGTCTCAACAGAACCTTCTGCAGCTTGTGAACACCAGAAGGCTATCTTCAAATGAACTCGCAAACTGATTTCGCAGGTTTGCTGGACATGCCCATCTCTGTTTTACCTAGTGGGTGGCAACACATCTGGATGCATTCAACGTGCTGCGGGCCTCACCTTGGCATGGTAGGTCTGCTCCATCTCCTCCTTGTAGAGCTTCACCTGCTCATCATGCTGCTGCCGCATGTCGGTCAGGGCTTGCGCCAGTTTGAACTCGTACTCCATCTGCCTTCCTGAGTCCACCTCCACCAGACGGGTCTCGTGCCGCCGCCGTGTGTCCTTGATCTCCTGTCATGGGGATGTCATTAGGGCTGCAACTAACGATCATTTTGATAATCGATTAATCGAACCAATTCGATTTCCAGCATTTTTCAATAACCCAAGCTGTTTTTGTACAAATGTTGTTTCCAGCAACCCACATAAAAAATAAATGTATGCTACATTAAGAGTACAGAAAAATTAAATTTTTGTGTCTGCTGAATTAATGTAATGAAAAACAAAATCTTTTTTTTTTTTATAGAGTGCAACCAGCATGGTGCTTTAGATAATGTATTCAGTACTCCAGTTTTTAATGTAAAAGCACAGACTACCGCTGCTGCTACTAAGAATATTATTAAATAATTCTCAAATGTTAATGTTGATACACATATGTGACGGGGGGAGAGAGCACGCGAAGGAGTGTGTCTGCATTTATTACGGACAAAGAAAGTAAACATTTATTGCAGAGAAAAAGCCTTTTACGCATTTTACGCTAAAAATGCACCAGCATGCGCTCTCGTGAAACGCCACAGACTTTAGTGACTGAATGGTGCAAAAAAGACGATTGGTGAGGAAAAACCTGTGAACAGCAGGCGGCAAATTTAGTTTCAAAGCGTGTCTGGTTGTGTACAGTGATGAACTGTAAATAAGATAACATAAGGCTATTTAGTTTGTTTAATAAAAGGACAAGATATAGACCTGTTCTATAGGAAAGGTAGCCTTAAACGACTTCTGTTGTGATCTGGCGCTATATATAAAATAAAATTAACTTGGGGCACCCCCCTAATGGAATGGTAAGGTAAACACTTTGTGGTACATGTAGCTACATTTGATAATAGCCGATTGTGTTGACATCTTTCCCAGACAACCACGACTTCACCTGTGTTCATGTGCACACGTGCGTGTGTGAAGGGGTGGGGTGGGTAACGAGGTTGGCAGTAACGTCATTGGTTGCACTTGAAGTGAGAAGTTATCCAATCTGACAGTAAATGGCTCATTAGCAGGAATATTCTCCGAGTTGTGGTCTCGGCTGGTCTCGAAATAAAATCCCAAGTTCATGACAAGAACGAGTACAAATACGGCTGATTCAAAGACAAGATCGAGACCTTGAGTACTACAACATTTGATATTACTATGAATTTCTATCATGAAGAAATGAAACAGTGGTGTAGTGGTAACAAGAAATTTAAGGTGGGTAAACTATATGCACAGCAATAAATAGGGAGGGTAACTATTCATATCCTTAACGTAAATGCTGTTTTGTAAATTTAAAAGGTGCATAAATGGCGTTTATGTGCATTTACCCTCCACTACACCATTGAATGAAGGATTTGCGTTAATTAATCCAAATAATTGCATAAAATAATCCAAAAACTCTACAACGTCACATAATACATCAGTATCTCTCCGACCTAATTACAGCTATCATCAAATACTACCATTTCTGGCAGAATTAAAACAAGACTCTGCTGTGTCCACCTCCGGTGCACTATCAGGTGCTAGAAAGGATGCGAGATGAATCAAACTAAACATCACCATCACCCCCCACAATGGCCTGGCAGCCAATATGCACCAGGAGCAAGACATTCGCTAAGAGTGCTATACGCTGCGTTTCCACCACGTATGATCACACATTGCTCTCCGACTGGAAACAGATTACTCATGCCCCACTAGCAGCAAGCTAATGACTGTTACAGCTGAAGTGTGGACTGCAAGCCATTCACCATGCTGATTCCTTATCTGGAGCTGCACTCCCAGCATCTTGCCCCATAAACACATCAGGGTAAAGTAAATGGCAATAACATGACCTCCTACCTCAGCAGTTCAGACACAAGTCACTCAGCAGTCAAAAGGGGAGCCCTCATAATGACTTCTCTGAGTTTCTTCGGGGATTTCCCATTAGTGCAAAAAATCATGAGCAATGAACATAAAACCTTCTGGTACTTCAGGATGGAAGACCTTTGTTCTCTGCCCAGTGTTACATTAACTTAACTACAAACGGCAAACGCTTGCTGAGGAAGCAAATGTGTGGGTCTTACCTCCTCAAACATATTCTTGCGGAATTCCAGCTCCTCTGTCAGGCTCTGGCAGCGGTTCTCCAGGTCCACCCGCAGCAGCGTCTCCTCGCCCAGTTGCTTCTTGGTCGAGGCCAGGCCGGCATCCAACTATGTAAGTACAGATATGTGATCAACACCAGGGACAGGACCTGCAAACGACTACCATCTGATGATGAGGTTAAGGAAAAGACTAGAGATGCACCGATCCGATATTCGATCGCCGCCGATCCAGACCTATTTGATGGATCGGATACCGGCCATGCGTGACCGATCCACATCCTATACTTACTTATTTAGATTTGGCAATTTCTAAAAAGACAGATTTAACAAGAAATAGGAGCTATTTGTACAATCAATTGCACGATGGCTCTTTCCCATTTTACATGTTTTTTTGAGGCGTTCAAATTTAAACGCCAACGCTGTCCCTCAGTCTTTGTTGCTACTCAGTGGGTGTGAGTACAGTAACTTCCGCCTGCTGTAACATCATGCGCATACACTCCTCGTACTGCGAAGGGTAAGATAAGGCATGACGGACGAGGAGTATTTTACGCTTTTAACAGAAACCAGTAGTACAGTGATTTGCAATCTTTGTAAAATAAAGTTTTGAGAGGTGGGAATAGCGTTTAATGGACAATCCCACTTAAAGCGCAAGCAACTGTGAGAGACAAAAAAAAAGCAATGTATGATTTGGGAGTCGCTAACTTGGACTGTTTTGCAAATTAGCTGCAGCTTGTGATACAAGAGGGGCTGCCATCACAACAAAGTGTAACTGAGCTGACACCAATGGGAGAAAAATTGTGTAAAAATTATAAGCATTCGCCACTTGTGTATACTTGCTTTGAAGATACTCATATTGAACTGCAAAAACAGGAGAAACAGTACGTTATGCATGTTTGTAGTATGCTAATTAAATATTTTGTCATACATTTTTTGCCATCTATATTTACTAGCTTAAAAAAATTATATATAAAGTATAAGAAAGTAAAAACAGCTCTTGTATCGGAATCTTGGTCGGTATTGGCAGTTGTCTATCGGAATCAGATCTGAAAACATGTGGATCGTCCATCCCTAGAAAAGACATATTAAAGTCACCCGATAATCTAAGTGGAATGTACTCATGGTTAATACTTCTGTAGCATTTTTTGTGAACCCTGCTCAATTCTCCAACAACGGCCTGCAAAATAAACTACTGGCCACAGCACCCTCTACTGGAGACAGAATATGCTTTTCAAATAATGAAATTAGGAAAATGATCTTAAATGAAGTTAAACCCATAGTTGAAAAGAAAAACACTGGATGTATGAGCAAAGCACCTACCTCAAGGAGCTGCTCTTGGGCTTCGGCCAGGCTGTTCTCCAGGGCCTTCTTCTCAGACATTGCAGTGGCCAGGACAGCCTCCTTGGAGTTGAGCGTGGCCTCCAGCTCCTTTAGCCGGGCCTGGGAGTTGGCCAGGTCAGCATCCCTTTTGGCATAGCTGTTCATATAGAACAGTTCGATATAAAATGCTGGAGAGGTTCAGTGGAAGTAAGGAACAGGAAAACCAAATGCCTTAAGTTTAATAGGGGTAAAGGAATCCTCATTAGTTCCCTGAAAGTATTAATCCATTCAAGATATCTACAAAAGTGCTTACAATTCAGTTTAATTATTCATTCTCATTGACTTTTTAAACGCAAAGATACAATCTGGAGATGAACAGAATAATAAGCTGTCCCTATTAGCTATAAAAACACTCAAAGCATCACTGACCACCACCAAGATGAAAACAAATTACCACAACAGGACACAATGTGGCCCAATAAACCAACTATGACAAGACAACAACACACTCGGCCCAGATGATATCAGCAGGACCATAAACATATCCTATCCTGAATGATGTAGCAAAAAAAAAAAACCCTTCAAATTTAGTTAGATTTACATAACTATGAAGTTGACAATACAGTGACACACAAACATGTGGCAGTTTGTGACCCAGCAGGTCAGGATGCTGTGCCTGTGTTCAGAATGTCACCACCCCAGAGTTGACAGAGTGACGTCACCATTGGCCCCTTGAGCAAGACCCTTAACGCCCAATTGCTCCAGGAATTGGCTGACCCGCCCTTCTTTGGATAAACTTGTCTGCTAAATAAATGTAAACGTAATCAAACCGACTGCAATAATGCATGATTCTGGTTATGGAACCAGGCACGAATATTCAGGAGTAGCAGTTTGTGGGGGAAAAAATTAATTCAACGGACAAGCAAGTCTTCCAAGTTAAATTATTGTAGACTGAAACCAGAAAGACGCCGCCAGCGAAATATTCAGCAATATAGATGATCGAGACCATGACATGTTTTGGAGGGAAGAATCTGCCTTAAAGTAATGAAGATTCATTTCCTGCCTGTCAGTCCACATCCTTCGGAGGGATTTGTGGTTTTGTACAAATCTCTGATCTAGTCAATGGATTCATTTTGGGATTCACCACAGTTAAACAACAGTTATAATGCTTATTAGCAAATGATTATCATCTACATACTACCCCTCGGATATAATGTCTGTCTGAAAGAAGTAACTCTGTGTGCCCCTACTTTGGGGGGGGGGGGGGGTGGGTGAGATAACTCCCTAGCCTACAAACATGGGTGGGAGGAGTTTAACAGGGCAAAGGCAGTACAGGAATGGAAGAAAAACCTCAAGAATCCACATGGTTTGCACCCAAACACGGCTGTAATGGTGCGTTCGTTTTTCTCTCGGAACTCACAAATTCCGAGTTCAGTGACATCACGTCCGACAATCTCCCGTTCGAGCTACCACATCCCTGAACAAACATGGCTGCCTCCATGAACATGCTGCTTCGTGTTGTTGCTTTATATTTTAGTTTTGGAGTGAGATTATTTTTTCCGAGAGACAAACACACAAGAAACACGAACCAGTCAAATCACATTAAAAGCTTTATAAAATATTTTAGTACATTCATAGCGATATTCTTTTTTCGAGAGGCAAACAAACTACAAACAAACCAAAGACACTAACAAGTCTGGTAAAAATATGATATTGCATGCTAGGATACTGTTTACAGTCATAATATGGTATTCTCTAAACCGAACACGTGCAATTACATTTCTAAGTATTAATACGCTTAAAATAAACATTTTTAAAGATTTATAAAATAGAATTACTGTTGAGTGTGTAAGCCGCCATGTTGAAACTACATCACAGGGGAAACTCAGACAAGAAAATTCTGTCCGACATCAATGCCATAAAAGAGGCGTGTTTCCAACAGGAAGTGACGTTTTTCGTGATGTTTCGTGACGTTTTCATCAGAGTTCCGACTCGGAGAGAAATAATCGAACGCACCATAAGACACACAACGGAACACATTCTTGTCAAAATTAACTGAAATACTTCACAGGCTGCCTCGAGTCATTTGGGTTGGAATTAATTGACAGCTGGACAGAAACTATTCTGCTAGGCAAAAACTAACCTGAAAGATAACTAGATTTACAATTTGTTTTCTTGGCAAACAATTTTACCCAAAGTGGCATACTTTTTTGAGAAAGCAGGATCAGACGATCCTTGGAGCAATTGGGGGGTGAAGGATATTGCTCAGGGCCGAACAGTGAAACCACTCTGCTGGAACTGGCGAGCTTCCAATCACAAGCACGGCATCAGAACCTGCTGAGCCACACACTGCCCCCAATTACCCTGATATTAAGGTGGAGGTGAGGCCAGAGGAGTTAGCCACAGTTTATGTAGCTCATTTTTAAAAATAAATCTTTCAAAAATCAATGCTTGTCGGGAAAAAACAGAGTTTAAGATTTTAACTATACAATAAGGAACAGTGTGTCTAAATGGAATGTTATAAGAACACAAAAGGACATTTTGTTCAAGGAGCAGACTGGACATATGGCGTGGGGAGGAGGTTGACATCCACCAACATCACACAGCTGCTCAATCACTCACACCAGGAATCAAAATCTCTTTATGCCACAAAGCCAACTATAGCCTACAGCATCTGACCATGCAAGCCAACTGTCCAGTTCTGAGAACACCTCCTAGGATGTCAAACAAGGTCTTAAAAGGATTTACACTAAGAAAAGGGGAAGGAAGAAAAAAAAAGAGAGCTAAGTTCTACACTCCAGTCACTAAAAGCTGCACATCTACAACCTTCTCATTCATAAATGCTTGCTATAGCCAACTGTTTGCATATGTGCATGTGAAATATCTGCCTCTTCACTCCACAAACAAGCATGCATTCCCTTCCCTGAGGTATAACGAGCACAGAGACGACATCATGCCGCATGACATGCTTACAGCTGACAGCAAGCCTCTAAAACACACTTTGCTGGGCTGAGTGAATATGATTCAACTGGTGTTTCAGAGACAATAACAAACAGCCAGTGTGATTCAAGCCCCAACATGCAGCCATATTTCAATTTAGAAAAATCATAAAATTTGTGTGAGAATTTAGCATTTCCTGACAAATAAATTCTTTGCAGTTCAGCTTTGAAATGCTTTCTTAAATTTTTTTTTTTTTTTTTTAAAGTTCTACAGTATATTCCAAAGGAACTCATAAGTTCAGTGGTACCCTCCACCCCACAAAAAAAAAAATCTGCCATATATTAATCTACAGACAGGTGTAACAACCATACTTGCTGCTTCTGTCAGTCAAATGGCTGTTCACAAGGTCTCATTCAGCCAGTGTTACTGGTTAAAAGTGCCGTTGTTTCTGGAAAGCACATGAATTCACATGCTACCACAAACGCTGAGCTCTTTCTCATGCGTGTGGAAGCAAATGTTACATGTTGAGTCACCATAACATTTCACAAATGCTTTCTTATTCTAAAAACATTTTAGGTTTGCAGGATGACAGGTGACACAGACAGACAAGGCAGAAACCAATAAACACAGCTGTGTAAGGATGTACTGGCTTACACATGCATACGCCTCGTAAGCTTACCCTTGGTAAAAGTAAAGACCTTACCCACAACTGGGAACATGATATGAAAGAGAATGCCAATACAATGGTACCTCAGTTCTCGAACTCATAACTTGAATTTCTTAAAAGTCGAACCAACCAGTTCGAAAAAAAATTACCTAGAACTCGATCTAAATCTCAGAAGTCAAACCGTGAACGCAGACCTAAGATAACTTGTACGTGCGGGGAAATGAGTCACGCGGCATGTCTCTCAGCGGAAACAAAGGGTAATGCTTCAGTCTTAGCCTCGCATTTGCTGTAATAGCATCGTGCATGTTCACACTAGCTGAATACATATATTGACAGTAAAAATACATTTAGACAATGATACAGTAACAGTAATTATTATTCTATAATAAAATACATTTAAAAATGAAGATTTCTTAATTATTTTAATATTAATAATAAACCATTAATAAGTTTAATCATAATAATATTGTCGTGCCCAGCGGGGACGGAACGGAGACAAAGGCGCCGACGTCAGGGTATCGGGGTTTAATTACAGGTAAGGCAGGCAAAACGCAGATAGACAATACAATGACCAGACTGGGGAAACAAACTGAAACGCGGAATAAATACAGAGGACTAATGACAACAACCAGAAACAGCTAATCACACGGGGATTCCATATGGGGGTAACACGGGGATTCCATATGGGGGTAACAAGGGGGCGTGGCACACGGAAGGAGCGGACGATCGGGGCAGGACACATTGTTTGGATACATTTATTTTCTTAATTTACAAATTACTGTTTTGATAAATGTGCTTAGATGTGTTTAGCACAGTATATGCTCTTCTTGTTTTATCCGGTTCATTTTGTGTTTAAATGGTAAAAAAAAAAAAAAACCTATTTTGTGTAATTTTTGGGGACCGGGAACCAATTAATTGGTTTTCCATTATTTCTTATGGGGAAAATTCGATCAGAACTCAAACTTTTTAGGATTCGATCCGGAGTTCTGAACGGATTAAGTTCGAGTTCTGAGGTACCACTGTATATGACTAGTCACATTCATTTAGTTTTGGGGGCTTTCCACCCTATTGGTATCCAACAAAGTCCATTATGACTCCAGTGTCCCACTCGCCTGGCCATATATCATGGGTCCTCTGGTATTTCCTGGCTGAGCTCTTGAAGATGAAGTTTCTTTGCACCAAGTCTGTCATCCACCACAATACTGGCCCATCTGTTTCCTCTATAAACACTATACTGCCCTACATAGGCGAAACACAGCAACTACACTGAAACTGGGGAAAAAAAGGCTTCAAAGTTCTTTAACTGTCTGCCCTGTAGACAAGATATGTTGTCAAGAGAGAAAACAAAGCCTAAGAGACACAATTTTAGTCATAATTTCATTTTAATAAAATATGTATTTTATGTATATTATGGCATTTTGCCTTTGTATGGCAGCACACAGCCATGAAGATTTAACAAGCACCATCAATACAGCTACTTCTGACAGTCTGTATTTTTAGTGCTGGGTGCAATTCTAGCATCTAAAAATAGAGTCATTTCACAACCGACCTGCTCCAGTCAGACCCACTACTTTTTACTTAGAATGTAGTCTTGTATTGGCAAGGAGTTCAGTTGCAGTGAGCAATGACTGCACATGCATGTTTTCTGCAAAATAAGATGCAAATACCTAAAATAAGATGCCATTAGATGCTAAGAACAGACCAGGTAATTTGTTATTTAACTGTATTATGAAAGACTTTTCTTATGGGAGAGTGGGAATGCAGAATATATGACGTATTTCTAGAAGCAATAAATGAGATCAACACTCAGATTGACAAAACATAAAGTAAGTTTAAATGTAAGCAAATGGGTGACTGCAATATGTTATATAAGCACAAAAGAAACGGAATTCAAACCAAAGTTGAATGCTGGGTCATCAAAGCAGAAGGCGAAAACGGTTCACCATACAGAAAAGCATGAAAAACGTGAAGATTTTATTTACAAAGCCATTTTAAGACCAAAAGCTTATCTTACACGTATGGGGATGCAGAGGAAAAGATTTAAAGGAGTCACCAAATTCGTACTGAATGACCAGATTCATATTACGAGTTAGAAAGCCAGGCAATTCTATAACTTGCATTTTATTCTTACAGTTACATTCTCAAAAATACTATGAGATATATCGTTTTTCAAGACTTTCCAAATAGGCAGAAAACCGACTCTTATGTGCAACAACCACAAAACAGTAACTTAGAACAAAAGAAAAAAACTACTTAAAATAAAAGCAAAGCACGTGTTCAAAGCAAATGGAATCACACCATGCCTAGATAGGAAACAAAACTTAAAAAGCCACGAATCAATAACACAGCCAGATAAACTCCTACATTTGCAATGCAATATGGGTAAAAAAAATACGCTGTGTTGCATAACTCCACTGAAAGCAAATGAATTAAGGTAGGCGCTCCTCCCCTTCACTATCTAAAAGGTGTGGCACTTGGAGAACTGGAAAACCGATCTAAGTTGTCTTTAAACCAGCTTACGGCAGAAAAAACCTGAAAACAAACCTAAAATGATCTTCAAAATTACACCGTTTAATTATTCATTATCTGGTTATTTAAAAATTCAAACACCAATTTAGGAAAAACAAGCACCAAGTAACTGCAAATCCTACGTTTGAAACCCTCTCTTTGGCAATGTTAAAGATCATATTACCCTGAGAGACTTATACATACATAACTTACAATAAACCGCTGGGACGGACTTATTCAGCAAAACAGCGGTCCAGCATTGCGACCTACTTGTGCAGCAGCTGCTCGTGCTCGGTCCTGAGCTTCCCCAGCTCGATCTGCAGCCGTGCTCGCTCCTTGGCGGTGTCGTCCAGGGACCTCCTAGTGTCGGCTAGCTCCGTCTCGTACAGTGATTTCAGACCAGACAACTCCCGGCTCCGCACTTCTTCCTTCTCGGTTATCTGCAGGTGAAGCACGCTGTTCTCCGACTCCAAGCTGCGCACTTTGTCGATGTAGACGGCCAGGCGGTCGTTCAGGTTGCTCAGCTCTTCCTTCTCCTGCAGCCGGGATATCCTGGTGGGGCTAAGCGGGGTGCTAACGGTGGAGCGGGTGCTTATTCTTTGCCCGGCCGGGGTCGAAGTTGCGGTCGCCATTGTAATAAAAAAATGCAGTAGCAAATTATCTAGGCCAATATATTTTTTTTCCTGGGAAAAGGCCTATATAAATTCCACACTGAATCTTCTACAAAAATAGTGTTTTTTCTGTAACGAATTAAGACGAGAATAACATAAGCCAACAGAGAGGTCTGCTTAAAAAATGTGTATTCAGCTAAGCTACTTCGTCGTAAATTGGAGATTTAGCTACGCCGGTGCTAAGAAGGGAAAAAAGCACCTTTTCGAAAAACACACCGCTAATTTAAACAGACACAGGCCAGTTAAAATGCTAAGAAAAAAACTAAGGGGAAGAGGAAGAAAGAAAAAAAACCGTAAAGCTCATGAAAGCGTCTATCACTTTGTCTTCCAACCGAATGAAAGAAAGGGCTTGACTAACATGGCCGCTCGCGCAGCGTAACGGCGACGCGCCGCCACTGACCAATGGCAGACCGCGCCGGGCCGCATCCTCAAGGCTCAGGACAAAATTCAAAATAGGGGGAACGCGCTGCGGGTAAGCCCCCGTCGCACGTGCGGTTTGTCAAAAGCTGTGATTTTTTTTCCGGGCTATGCGGGTCTCGATTTGCACGACTAATGTCCGCCTTACTTTTCCACCTTGAATTTAATACAATATAGAACTTGACTCATGTGTCCGTGAAGGGAAATTTTATGTCCAGTTACACAGAAGTATGGAAGCGCATTGCGTCCATAAAAGAAAAAATAAACTCCTCATCTAATGGTTATGACTTAATATCTCGTAAGAAAGAGATTGTAATCTCATTACGAGATATGGTATCTATTTTTTCCTTTATGAGTGCAATGCGCTTCCATACAGAAGGAGTAAATACAACAAAGGATCATTTAGGTAGGAATACGGCGAAGGATAACATAAGGAAAAGCAGGCAATAAATATGTAAAGAGAACTGTGTTTAAAAATAGATTAACTGTGCAGAGAATGTACCGCTATTTCAGATACGCTGCGAATGGCAGTTGTATAAATGGCATAAGTTCAAAGTCCGTTCATAACTCAAGTGCTTTTAGAAGAGTCAGTGGGTAAGAATGCATCTGAAGCGCGCAGTTTTGCATTTGGGTGATTAGTCTGCGACAGAATGTGCTCTTCAGGCTACAGAGAGATCAGTTTGATTCCAAGCATTTTCATATTAATTAAGGTGAAGGAATATTTATAAAAAACAATGCATCCCCCAGAACCTGGTAAACGTAGTAAGACTACGTTTCCTGGTGTTATAAAGTTTGTTTTGAATTCGTCAAGGAATAAATCACAAAAAAACAAAGGCTTAGACTTACCAATTAACTATTAACTAAAAATGTGGATCAAGAAAACACAAAATCTTTTGTTTTGGTGATACCAAGATGGCAAACTTGTTGTGTAGGGAAGAATTAAGTTTGACATTACTGTGATGAGACCTGAGCTTGGATCACAAGTTTCATCCATCCATTTCCAGAAACCATTTATCCTATTCAGGGCCATGGGGGATCCAGAGCATATCCCAGAGGGTACAGACACATTCAGGGAACAATGCAGGATAGGGCACTGACCCATTACAGGGCAAACTCACCATGTGGTGACTCCAATTAGACTCAGCATGTTTTCAGAGTGTGGGGGGAAACAGAAGTACCCAGAAAAAGCCTCATGACAACACAAGGAGAACATGCAAACTTCACACACATGGAGCCATGGCACAGACTCAAACCCTGGTCCCCAAGGTGTGAGGCAACAGGGCTAACTACTGCACCACCATGCCACCCCAATCATGAGTACCCTCTGAGCTAAATGTTTCTACAATAAAGGGCAAATAGATGACAAACCACTTAATTCTCAATGAGCCACCTCAGTTTCAACTATACTGAATAAAAGTTTTTATCTGTGTCACTCGCAAATTAATAATATTCATCGAAGTGAGAGGTGTATGCACTTGTGGGACCTAGACAAAAAGGTTTTAATTTCCTGGAGTTAACCAGTATATTTAGGTATGAAATCACTTGATTAAATGTTAATGAACAAATTACCACAGTTTTGCAGAGGTGAGGAAGTGAATAAATGTGAGAATGTTGTGATTAAAATGCAACTACAGATTGTAGGAATATTTGCTATTTAATTGACATGATCTTTTACTCAGGATTTGTTTCATTGATGAATTATCTGTTTATATTTCCATCCATCCATCTTCTAGAACAGCTTGTGCAGTACTGCTTCAGAGTGTCGATGCTGGGAAGTACTGAGGACACCCTGGACAGGATGCCAGGGCACACATGAAGGGGAATTTAGTAACTGCAGCAGGAAATGCACACAAACACAGGAAAAGCATGCAATTTGGGTAATAAAATCACTGGATGGGAATTAACCCCCACCAAATCCTGATTGTGCGAGGCCACAGTTCTCCCCAAATTATGGTCTTCAAATATATGTGACCTGTAATAAATGTAAACATATGGGAATTAAAAATATTTTAAAAACTCATTATTACATTATAATCTTTGGTTTATATCTATTCTGTTTAATTACTGAGACTTTCTGGACATGTCTGGGGTGGTATTGTGGGTATTTGAATTAGGTGAATGTGACATTTCTCTCCTCTGGTCAGTTTTATAATGGGAAGATTGTATATAAACACACACACACACACATATATATTTATTTATTTATAACGGGGTGGCACAGCGCCGCAGTGGTTGGCACTGCGGCCTCACATCTCTGGGATCTGGGTTTGAATTAAATTCCCCGTAGGTGTGCACGTGTGAGTGATTGGTGTGTGAGTTTGCCTTGTAACGGGTCGGCCCCCCATCCTGGGCTGTTCCCTGCTGTGCGCCTGTAGCCTCCAGGATAGGCTCTGGACCCCCTGCGACCCTGAATAGGATAAGTGATTACAGAAAATGGGTGGATGGATGGATGGATATCCATATATATATATATATGCCAATGAGGCACCATGCTGTCACCTCACACCTCCTGGGTTAATGGTTCATAAATAGTCCCAGCCCTATATGATTCAAGATTCTGGAAAAAGACCAGTTCATTCCGGTTTCCTCCAGGCATTAGTATATCTGTCTCATGCCAAAAAAATATATATTAATAAATATGATGCCAGTATGTGGTTCAGTAGGTTGCAATGCTGTGTTTGTGATCAGAAGGTGACTAGGTCATATCCAAGGGTCATATCCAAGGGTCATATCCAGAGTGATTTCACTGCAGGGCCCCTGAGTGAGGCCCTTAACCCCCAGTCACTCCAGGGACTGTCTGAAAAACAGACGTCACTTTGGGTAAAAGTGTCTGCTAAATGAATAAAATGTGAATATGGTTCATCCAAATGTAATCCAATGTCACTCATCATACTAATATAACTCATGTCACCAGTGAAAATAAGGATGCATTGTTTGCCTAAAAATACAGCCATCGAATCCAGTTATGACAGTGTGTTGACGTGCTGGTCACAAACAACAGGGCTGCAGGAGGGTAGATGCATATGTTGCCGCACTTTTCTTGCTAACCGCATTATTATAGTGCTTTATTTAAAACTGCTGGGAGTGAACGAGACACGGGAGGTTTGTAATCATGCCATGTTGCTGCATTTTTCCACGTAGTTTTTGGAGAAGCAGTGGGCAAATTATAGCTGTTATTACACAGTAGTTGGCCCCGTGCCTGCTTCCCAGATCTATGAAAACAAAAGAAAATTAGGCTAATCAACCACCTGCAGAAAAAAATAAGTGAAAAGAAAAGAAGGAAAATAATTTCATGATCCATGCGGCGTCAAACATCTGTTCACCCAACAGTATAAAATAATATACAGAACAGACAACAAAACAGAAGGAATTCAGAGAACTGAGCCCAGACTCACTTGTGGTTACGGTACCAACATTCCACATTCTTTGAATTCTTCAGCTGCTCTGACCTGATGAACAGCTCAAAGAACATACGCATCACAAGAGCTAAAGTTATGAAACTGACCATGCAATTTTATCAGCAACTCTTTCTGCAAAGCAGGTTTAATGCACAATACAATCGTCGTCCCCCACACTTTGGGTTTTCAATTTGAATTGTTCAAAATAAACTCTTGTGTTTGCCAATACATGTACATGTCATTGATACTGGGACGAGATATGGCACAATAGTCGAAAGAAATGCTGTGTTACCGTCTTAACATAAGAGAATTTACAATACGCTACATTGACTACAAAGGACTAATCCTGGGTGGGAGGGGGATACATTAGACTTAATGTATTTTACACTCATGTGAAAAAGAAAGTGCACCCCCGCTTAAATTCTAAGGTTTTCGTATCAAGACTTAATAAAAAAAATCACTGGTCCTTTGCAGGTCTTAAAATGAGGTAAATACAACCTCAGACAAACAACAACACATGACATATTACATCCTGTCATTATTTATTTGAAAAACTAAGTCAAAATGCAAAGGTGGTGTGTGAAAAATTATGTGCCTTTACTGCTTCCATAGGAATTAAGAGGGTAAGTAGCAACCAGGGATCTGCTAATCAAATGCACTTCATTAATTGATCATCAGCAAGTGTGACCAGCTCTATAACAGCAGACGTTTTGGCAGTTTGCTGGTCTGGAGCAATCAGGTGTGTGTTACCACAATGCCAAGGAGGAAAGACTTCAGCAATGATCTTAGAGAAGCAATTGTCGCTGCCCATCAATCTGGGAAGGATTATAAGGCCATTTCCAGACTATTTGAAGTCCATCATTCTACAGTGTAAAAGATTATTCACAAGTAAAAAATATTCGAGACAGTTGCCAGTCTTCCCAGGAGAGGACGTCCCAGCAAATTCACCCTAAGGTCAGAACACGCAATGCTCAGAAAACCTACAAAAAAAATCCAAGAGCTACATCTCAGACTCTACAGACCTCAGTTAGCATATTAAATATTAGAGTTCATGATTGTACATTTACAAAAATACTGAACAAGTATGGCTTGTTTGGAAGGGTTGCCAGGAGAAAGCCTCTTCCCTCAGAAAAGAACACGGCAGCATGGTTTAGGTTTACAAAGTTGCATCTGAACAAACCACAAGACTTCTGGAACAATGTCCTTTGGATAGATGAGACTAAAGTGGAGATGTTTGGCCATAATGCACAGTGCCATGTTTGGCGAGAAACAAACACAACATATCAGCACAAACACATAATACCAACTGTCAAGCGCAGTGGCAGAGGGGTGATGATTTGGGCTTGTTTTGCAGCCACAGGACCTGGGCACCTTGCAGTCATTGAATCGACCATGAACTCCTCTGCATACCAATGTACTGTAGAGACAAATGTGAGGCCATCTGTCCGACAGCTAAACCTTGCCATATGCAGGCCTGGGGTGTGGCAAGGGGTGACTGTGGCCGTCCTAGACTGAAACCTGGCCATCCCATTGGCCAATCCCGTCGTATTTGCATTTTTGTGGCATTTTTTTCTTGCCCAGGATTACATTTCTTTTAGAGGCGGAACTTTTCTCTACTGCTGCAAGACACCTGGAAACTGTTGCCTACTGTCAGGGTCAGCCCCTGCTGTGGTCCTTCCGTGTCCCTTCCCTGTTTGACCAGCAGGTGTTGCTGGTCATCCCGTTCTTTGTGTTAGTCTTTGTTCTCCCCTGTTACCTGTATGGTCTTGTGGCTCAATGTGTTGAGCATGTGGTTGTCTGTGTATCCTTCTGTCCTGTGTTTGAATCCCGCCACCTCTGTTTTTGTATTTTGCTCCCCAGTATTTCTTTGTATAAGTTTTTCTGGTTTCTGTGATTTGTATTTGGTTCAATTCTATGTGCCCCTGCTTGTGTTTCTACCTGTCTGTTATTCCCCTAGTGTAGATGCTGTTTCCTTCTTTGTCAGTCTTAGTTTTCCAGTCCCAGTTCCCTGAGTTAATTAGTTCCACCTGTTTCCTGTTCTTGTGCCTGCCCTTGTGTGTTTTCCTGATTGCTTCGTCGTCCTGCACCTTCCCCAATTGGTTAATTGCTTGTCTCACTCCTGCTGCCTCGTTACTCTGTTCAGTTTTCCTATTTAAGTTCCTGCCTGAGTTTAGTTCACTAGTGGTTCATTGTTGATTGATTGTGTTGTTCTGTGGTTCCGCGATTTTCAGTGTTTTGATGTGTATTTGGTTTTGTGTTTTAGTCTAAGTTTATTCCCTTTAGAGTTTGACCCCCCGTGGTCCTTTTGGTTTCTTTGGTTTTGTAGTGTCTTCTGTTTTAGTTACTAAACCCCTTCTGTCTCTGAGCCGCAAGTGGGTCGTCCGCCATCCTTTCCGTGCCTGCACCATGCCGCGCTCCCGTGCCCGAGCCGCCTGCATTCATGACACCTGAATTATAAACAATGTAGAGTTAGTGTTTTGGTACCTTAAATATTCCTTTATTTTCTAGATGATTTATATTCATATTCAGATTGATGTGCCGCCCCAAAATGACCTATGGTCCCACCCTGGCCACCCTACTGAAAATTATATTAAATATATAAAATAGATAAAATTATAGCTCCACCACTGGCAATAGCCCACTCAAAGTCCAGACCTCAACACAACTGAAATACTGTGGCGTGATCTTAAGAGAGCTGTTCAGAAATTAATGCCTGCAAATCTCAATGAACTGAAGCACTGCAAAGAAGGGTGGGCCAAAATTCCTCCACAATGATGTAAGACAGTGGTTCTCAAACTGGGGGCCGGGGGCCACCAGATGGCGCTAGGGGGGCCGCATCGAAATTGTAGAATCTAAAAAAATAAAAAAATAAAAAAATTACCTGTATGTAAATCAGGCTTGTCAACCTATGTAAAATATAATGTATTTTTTTAAAAAAATAATAGAAGTAATAATAATAGAATAATAGAAGAAAAAAATGTAAATATAAATTTTACGTAGCACACAACGCTGCTATGGACATCATAAATTAATGTTCAGTATTCAGTACATGTTGCACTTTTCAGACAATGTTAGTTTTACTGTCAAAACTGTTTTAATACAATGTTATATTTTGTGAAATGTAAATTTAACAAACCAGAGAAATAAAGACTACAAACAGAATCTAAAATCTAAAATTAAGTAAAATTGTAAGCTTGAGGATGTTTTTGTCGCGTCGGCAGGCAGGCGAGCCGGGAAGCAGGCGAGATCAGCCGGAGATACGGGTAAACGAGTTTTAATTGTAACGAAAGGAGAGACAGGCATGGACATTAACAGACAATACAATGACGGATCTGACGAGACGTACTCAGACGCGGACTAAATACACAAGACTAGCCAGAAATAACAGGACACAGGTGATCACAATCAGGACTTGACACGAGGTAATGAGGGGGCGTGGCACACACGAGGATCGTACGGAGCTGGGCGTGACAGTTTTGCGTCATGATTTTTTTTTTGAGGAGGGGGACCACAAAAGGATTCACCCTACACAAGGGGGCATCCTGCTGAAAAAGTTTGAGAACCACTGATGTAAGAGACTGATAAAGTCATGCAGAAAATGATTACTTCAAGTTATTACTGCTAAAGTCGTTGTACAAGCTGTTGAATCACTTAGTTTTTCACACATGGCTTCTCAAGTTTGGCTTCATTTTTGTTAAATAAATAATCACACAGTGATCTGTTGTGTGTTGTTTTTACGCATGTGGTTAGATGTAAATAATTTTAGAACCTGCAGGCAAGGACCAGATGATGTTTTTAGTATGTCTTGATACATAAAACTATATAACTGAAAGAATGTGTACTTTCGATTTCACATGACTGCGTTTAAAACCTGCAGTGCTGACTCTTATCAACCTCATGAAACAAAGTTTTGATATACTGTGACATTGGCACACTAGAGAGGTGTGTATTCTGACACTATTTTGAAAGGTCCTCCCTGTAAATGTATGTTTGTGATGAGTTGAGTTAGGAAATAAGTGGGCATAAGTATCCACATTTCATAAATCATTTTCGAAAATGTAATTTAAAAGGCAAGTACATGTTCAGCGCAACATGCATCTATTGTAATGTACAATTTCATTCTTTGCATGATAACATTCTCATTAATGTTGCATTGTTATAAATATTATTAGCCAGTTACAACTGTTGAATTATTTGAGTACATATTGCTTAACAGCTTGATATGTTTCTAGATGCAAATGCTGATTTCAGAGGCGTGCGGTCCGAACAGTGGGGGCCACTAGCGGTGAGAGCTGACAACATCTATACGTGATAGCTGTTTCGGAGCAACCATACGACATTATTTCAGAAGGTATAATAGTTAAGGACGTTTCGGAGAACACCTCGGAAGGTTATGGTACAGCTTAAGATATTTTCGGGGAACGCACTCCTGAAGTGCAGCGTGCATAGATTTTTTTTTGTCATGAAAACAAAAAATATAAGCTATATGGCCCACGTCTTTGTGTATAGATCCGTATAGAGCATTCAACATGGGCGTCGTTTGGTTCGATCACTCGGGGCTATAGTATTTTAAGCCTATTTTAAGCTTAACCCCGAGTATTTTTCCTTCAATCAATCAATAAAATAAAATCAAGCCCCAGGTAAACTTGACTTCTGCCTCTGATCTAGAATCGCCTGGCATTCAACATAGCGCTTCCTCGGCAAACAGAACACTGCTGTCCTTAAAGCACCTTAGTGAAATATATAAAATAAGGTAAAGGTGATAATCCAGAGAAATCTATGAAACTTGCGGAATTGTTAAAAATTAAAATAAGAAAAAAAATATAAGAATGGTGGTCAGATGTGCATTAATTTGTAGTGATATGTTATTCACCTTAGTGCATGTTACCGTTCTACTCGCATAAGACACTAGACTAGGCTATATGAGCTGTGAGAAGCCGTTTAGGCCAAAATTCCATAATTCCCCTTACGTATACATAATTCTCGCACTAATATACATAATTACATAGGCCTATATACATTCTCTCATTCATAGCCTATACCTGCATACTCGTACACACATATTCTCATGTAATGCATACATATATGTATGTGCATCCTTGTACTGTATGTATGTACGTGCATATGTATGTATGTACAGTATATGTATGCGTATGTATGTACTGTATGTATATGCACGACAAGATGTACTGTATGTATATGCAAGTCCTATAGTACCAATATATATATATGTCCAAGTGAATTATGCATTTTTGGCCTAAACGGCTTCTCCTGCCCCGCGCCATGATTTGTGCATTTGGCAGTTGCTCCAACCGAAGGCACAGCAATCCCCTTATAGCTACACAAATATGTAGTCGGTCTAAACCAAGAGCTGTAACACTTTGTTTTAAAGCACGTTCATATTGGAATGTATTTAGCTGACGTGAAACAACCGTTAACTCGAAAAAAAGGTTAACACGATCGGAGATTGCAGTTTGTACTAGGCACGCTGTCAGAAAAGAAGAATGCCGATTTGTACCTTTGCTTGTCACTGGGGCTGTACGCACAAGGGTCTGCCAATTGTACCCTTAGCTGTAGATAAATGTACCTAATTTACGGCACAGAAATGAACACCCCCAAGACACAAACAACATTAATATACCCCCAGCAGTACAAATATGTTCATCATAGTCCATTTCTGTACCTTAAAAGGTATAATTACCTGCAGCTAAGGGTACAATTGGCAAACCCTCGAAAGTACGGCCCCAGTGACAATTAAGCAAATGTACAAATTCGTAATCGTTATTATTCTAGGTGGCCGCTGAACGTGTACCGGTGAAACGTCTCCTTCGGTTGGGGAGACACATGACGGAATATTTCATTGCATAATTCAAATGAAATCAAATCATTTCTTCCTTCCATTTTAAATTGCTTTGTCGTGATGAATTAATACTTGAATTAAATTATCATGTTGATGCTGTCTAATGTTGCGTTTTAGCTTAATTTAAAAGTTGATCATTTTTAATTAAGAATCTGAAAGTCCAGCGACATTATAATATAGCGAAAATGTAAAAATGTCTTTATATGTTATCGGCCCCGCTGACCCTGCCTCTTTCTAGTTATCCCGATGACGTTTTCTCTGCTATAAATTTGAGCGCAAGTTCATCCTTCGCAGACTCCGTTAAGAATAAACGGTGTCACTTGTCATTGTTATTTTGCAGTCAGTGGTGTTTCCAAACATGCTGTATTTTTGACAAGTGTTCCTGTTTTCCACAAAGGAAGGAAAATAGCAACAAACGTTTCGGATTTAATCGCGATGGACAATAGCGATACCACTAAAAAGTAAGTACTCTTAAAATCAGTGGCGCAGATAGGATTTTTGAATTGGGGGGGACCAAGGATATTTTTTCCTTATGCAAAGACGGCAGATGCTGTTTTTTTGTCCTGTAAGTTGGGGACGCACGGACGGACGGACGGATCGAGGTCACTCTGAATATGAAGGGGTTCCCATCCCATCCGTCCCTGGTGCTAACTGCACGCCTGCTTAAAAAAGAATAATATAGAATGTGTAACTGACACGTTAGTTTATTCCACCTGACTTTAATATAACCTAGATATATATAAAGTAAAAATGATCCATTATATAATTAGTTTATTCCTCCAGTTAATTATCAATTGACTATATAACTAACTTTTAAGGATTCTATATATATATAAAATTCTTGAATAAAGGTAGGAATGCAAATACTGGTTGAGGTTTTGATAAATTATTTTGAAAGTACGTAAGCCAAAAAATAATTCCAAATAAAGGAAGATATGTTTAAAATAAAAAACGAGTTAGTTTGTATAGTTAATGCATTTAAGCTGTGGTAACTTACCTTTCCTATAGCCTATATGTTTTGCTGTCTCTCTGTTTTTTCAGTAACGCCGATAACGCGTCTAACAGTGGCAATAATGAAGACATAGACCTAGATGACTGGACACCGCCAGGGGCTGACCTGGTACAGAAGATGGTATCCCAGGTAGAATTTTATCTCTCAGACGAGAATCTAGCCAAAGATGCCTTCCTTTTAAAACATGTGAAAAGAAACAGAATGGGCTACGTGAACATCAAATTGCTTACGTCTTTTAAAAAGGTAGGATTTTCCAGTTCAGGTGTAAACTGTGGAGATTTATTGAGCTCCTGTCTGAAGCTTAACATTTTGATTGCCAAGTAATGTTAACGCCTACGGTAGCACGCTATTTTAATTAAAACCTTTATAGAGTAACTTTTCTTTTTTATTTCACCGTGACATTGTATTGGATAAGCGTTTATGGATTATGGATCGATGGATGGGTATTACTTCTTATAAAACAGACTACTGCTGAAACTAATTGCTACGCTTCCAAATATCGATTTAGCAGTTCTCCGAATCCAAAAATTTAGAAACCAGATGAGATATATGTTATTATCTAGTTTTCCAAATACGTGAATTATGCCATAATTGATTTATATGACCTACATAATACGTATGTCGATCGTTTCGAAAAGGTCTATCGGTGCTCATTTTGTTAATTTCAACATCATATTTAGGGGTCCAAACAGTTAGCCGTTGGATCCTTATTGTTTTTACTATAGGTTTTATTTATATACGATGAGAAATTCTATTCGTAATAAATAGACATGTTAAAAGCTGTTTTTCCCTTAAGCGTGACACCAAATACTGTATTATAACCCAGCAACCGTTGTAATTTTGTATTGTTTGCCATTTTCATTTCAGAGTAAACGTTATGGGTATTTATCAGTCATGTAGCGCCCTAGGCGAGCATCACCGCCGACGCCCCCCGTCCGAGGCAAAGTGAAACTTGCTGACAAGTCGGCGCCCCTTGTGAAGTTGGCGCCCTAGGCGGCAGCCTATAGGATTGAACGACCCTGTCTCTAATTTCGGTAAATGATTAGTTCCTAGTGCAGATCATTCATTTTGCCATCGAGTGGTTAAATACGAGCGCTACGGACACATACGAATATATATTTTTGCACCGTCTTCGAAAGTTTAAAGATACAATATCTTTAAACTGCGCTCAAAATTGGAAGGGCAACAGATAAGATGAGAGTGGTAAAACGGCAGTATTTTCTATTCCAATTGTCTTTAATTTTATTGTGTGACTATGTAAACTACTTGTAGTTGATACAGGATCTTGTTACGCATTGGTTGCTTTAAAACGGCGATTTTCAAAATGTGGGTCGCGACAAGTTCTGATGAGGTTGTGAGGCGGAGTTGGAAATGTAAAGCATTTTAAAACCAGCATGCTCCTATGTTGATCCACGATCAGATTTCCCGGGCCAAATCCTAGAATTAACCTACATAAACGGGTCTTGGGTCTGCTACTGCTTTTACTGCGCAAAACTAGTGAACCCTCAACCAATCCAAGAAGCCAAACCACAGATGTTTGATTTAAAATTCACTGGCACATCCAATCAGATTTGCGCCATAGGCATTGATTGCCATAAATTGCAGAGTGCACTGTGAGCTTGATCATAGCGTTTAGACCTATATTTGATATAGGGTGGCAACTGAGCTGGCACAGTAGAAATTGGGATGTGTTACAAAAAGGTTGAGAACCACTGCTTTAAGCTGTACTGAGGTGCAGCCTTCAGATCTAAAAGATGTTTTTCTTGTTGATGGTGAAGATGAAGCAGCTGACCAAGGACTGGAGAGTCACTGCCTATGCTCTTCATCACTCTTTGAAGTTGGAGTTGAACAAGGAAAGGACCAAAGTGCGTCGAAAAGCCCCAATACCAGAGTCTCTCCTAGTCCAAGCTCCCAGCCGGCTTTTACTGGTGTGGAACATTCCAGAACCATCCCACAGAGGGGATGTGACCCAACCTCCTAGAAGCAGTATGGAGGTGGCCATCGCCATCCTGAGCCCTTTTGGAACCATCAGCACCATCCGGCTCATCCGGCCCGGTAAGGAGCTTCCGCCGGAAATCCGGAAGTACATCCACAGGTATCCTGAGCTGGGTTGCCTGGACTGTGTGCTGGTGGAGTACGAGGACCTGGGAGGGGCGGGTCGAGCCTACCGTGAGCTCTCACGGAGGGGCGGAGCAGTCAGGGCACTGCTGGTGAGGAGGAGCACCGGGAAAATGTCCGGACTGGGCGTAGATCACATGGAGGACAGGTGTGACGGGAGGAGTGTGGGTGTCCTGATCCAGAGGATGACACTTCTCCAGCACGGAGTGGAAGACGAGTCGGACTCCTCCTCCATGCTCGCACCCTGCTCCTCCCCAAACCCCCTAGGGGTGTCACCCAAGTCCAGTCCCCGCTGCCCCAGGCTCCCCCGTGCACCTCTGCCTGGCCCCCTCCCGCTGGCCGCTCTGGTGGCAGACTCTAGCCCCAAACTTGGCTGTCCAGACCAAGGTGACTTTCCGCAGCTGGAAGCAGGGGCCAGTAGCCTCCGAATGCAGAGTTACAAGCTGCCCAACCCTCAGGCGCCGACCCTGGAAGGAAACCTCAAAGTGAGCCACCTGGGGCAAAAGAAGACCCAGGCTGCGGACCCTGTGCCCCTGGGGGTCACCCACCACCCGCAGGGACCAGACGAAACCACGGGGTTTCACAGCACTGCTGGAAGAGGAAGGTCTCCGAGGAACTTTTGAAGAAGATTGTAACTTGGGAGCATTTGGCAAATGCATCGATGATGTGGGTAACTAATGCAGAGTTGGAGGTATCCCTCCATCACAAAATACATCTGCATTCGATTGGCGTTACTCTACCGCAGTCACCAAAATAAACCTACTGTTGTTTTCCGGGGCCCTATAAACTGCGTAGGAACAGTAAAGAATAGGTTGATGGTCAATATTTTTACTTCAATGTGTTGATGACAATCCAGTTGGAGGGTCTATTATGTTTTGAATACAGAGTCTCTGTGATAGCTGTAGTGGCCCAGTTTGGGCTGTGTATCGTGAGTGTTCCATTGCCATGGCGACGCTTCAATTTGCGGCACGGCCCTCAGCCGACAACAGCCCCCGGCTCCATTGTGAGAGAGTTATTTTCTGGTTTTTGAAAAGATGAAGTGTTTTGGAAAATAACGGCCATGGTTCTTCAAAAGCTGTTCTTTATAGACAGTACAAAAAATTAAAAGACAAAATTTTCTGTATAACCAATTCCATTGTCATATACAAATAAATTGCACAATTAAGTGTTGTTCTGAACTCCACTAATCAGTTTGCTGAGTAGAATTGGCATAGAAAAGTCATGTTATCAGGCAGTCTTTCAAAATGTGAGCCCAGCACATCTGAAAAGAATTCTGAAAGTAGCACAAGATGCTGATAAGACTAAAGATTTATATATATATACCAAAATCTACATTGTTTCATTATACCAGGTTTTCCAAAAACCAACAGATGTGCACTAAGGATGATATCAGGAATTTTTATTTGAGAAAACAGCAAAATCTTTATGGGGGAAAAGGAAAACAAACACACAAAGCTTACAGCAGTAATAAAAATGAAATCTAAATGAATCCAAAGTTTCTTCTTGGTTTATGGGCAAAGGAACTGACACATGATCTCTTTGCAGGAGACCTTCATGTCTATAGTGTGCCTGTACTGATCACACATCTGAAGGGAGTCACTCATCTTTCTCTGATGAATATGACAAAACGCCCTGTGGTTCAGCAGACTCACACAGCTGCATACACACAGACAGCAAGAGGCTAAACAGGGATAAAGAAAATGACTACATGCTTAGCTGATGTATTCTTAGAGTGGGTTGATCGCGGAGCCTTACACCTCTGCTGGCTGTCAAAGTATTCCACGTCACAAAAAAAAAATAAAAAAATCAGATTTTGAAACTTGTGAATACTAGTGTGTAGTAAGATAACTGACACAGAGGTAAACAGAGCTCGATACTGCCACCTAAAGGCAGGACCTTTAAACAGAAATTAGTTAGATTTACTGTCCAGTTCAGCATTTGGTCGAAGTCCTACAAGCCAAAATCCATCCACAGTGCAGAGACTGACAATTCCAGCCCTACAGGTATGACGGATGGTGACAAACACGCTGTTCTGGTGATGTTTTTGAAATTTCGAGCCATTGCTCAAAGACCCAACCGTTTCAGACCAAGAGCCACAGTGGTTCAAACCTGCTGCAGAAGCCCAGCAGTGGGAGGCTGCCGTGCATCAAAACACTTCCAGGTCACTGGAGCTGTAGACCACGGGCGTGTCCTCCGTGCCCTGGGCAGCCTCTGCTGGCCCCTCCGGCGCCTCGTCCAGGGATTCCAGTGCCTCGTTAGTGTCGCTGGCGAACGTCTCACGGGAGATGTCGTCATGTTCCTGCAGGTTCAGCGTGTTGAGCGCCTGCTTCATCTTCTTGGCCACCTCGTGTCGTCTTCTCTTCTTGGCAGCCTTCTTGTTGCTGCATTCCCTCTGGTTTTCCTCGAGGAATATCTCCTGCGGGACACGCAGACACGGCAGGTCACTCTACCACGCCTACGCGTTCCACGGCGTTTGGCCAGCAAGGCCAAGGCACATATACGCACAGGATGTTCTCGTTTCGCTCCCCCACTTTGAAACTCCCTCCCCAGTGCCATTTGTCTATCGGTCTCTGTCTCAGATTTCAAAACCAAGCTAAAAACCTTTATGTTTGCTGAAGTGTTTAACCTTCTCTATCCATAATATGATTTGTAATTTTTGTCTTGTTTTTCTTTGTTTTAAGTAAGAATCTTTGAGATCTTGTAAAAGCACTATATAAATAAAATTTATTGTTATTTTTTTTAATTATTAATATTATTATTTAGCCAATATATCCATTTACCCATCCATCTTTCATAACTACCATCAGTAACCACCATGCAGGAAGCAGGAAGAACAGGGCATATTGGACAGGGTGTCAGTCCACACTATGGACAATTCAGACTTTTGCCCAAAGCAGGGTCAGAGAGCAGAGACAGTGTCCCTCGATCAACTAAAGAGCAAATTACAGAAACTCCCCCGAATTCCACGCTATATGTGGATGGGATAAGGCCATAACTAAAGTGTCATTTCTGTGGACTTGGTGAGTTTTTGAAATTTAACGAAAGTTCTTTGTTGGATTAAATGAAGACGGCGTTTTGGTTCCTGATCCTGTAACATGTGAGCAGCCTGACTTTAGGTCATTTGTGGTCTCATCTCAAAAACAACTAAAAATGGACTGAGTGAGTTTGGGAAATTTGCTCTTCAGTTTGGAGTCAAGGGTGACATCACTCTGCCAGGCACGGGATTTGAACCAGAAACCTTCTGATCACGGGTACCAAGTCCCGAACGGCAAAAACCACACACCAAATTTAGATGCCAGTTCATCTAGGTGCATGATTTTGGACTACGGGAGGAAAACAAACACAAACACAAATACCCATAAGCAACCTGTGTGCACACAGAGAGATACTGACGCCTCCGCACAGAGAGGTGGGGGGGTCGCATTCCAGCCCACGGCCGAGCTGCCGAGAAGCTATATGACCGAGACCTCGGAGAAATGTCAAAAGCGTTGAAAACCCAGGAATCCAGCAGAGAAGCGGCCGACAGTGGATGACGTACCTTGATCTGTTCACTGGAGATGCTGGGTGTGTGTTTCAGAAGGTTCAGATAGACGCCGCCGGGCGTCCGTCTCCTGCTGCCGTCCTGCGGGGAAATGGACGAGAGCCGGTCAATACCGGCCGAACTGGTCTGGGAGGAGGACGGGGGAGCGAGTAGGTTTGCTTACAGCTAAAAAGCTCTGCTGTTGGTCAAATATTTGCCGACAGGGTGGAGAAACAGGAGAACAAAAGTGAAAATGCGTGCAGCGCTGGGGCACACTCACCATGGTGTAAAGGCCGCCGTCCTGCTCGATGCTGGCTGTCTCCACCAGAAGCTCTATCGCTTTTTTCTTTCCAATGACCCTCACCACTCGCTCAATCAATACTTTTTTAGGCTCCATTAGTCTGAACCAAAAAAGAAACATTTTATTTGTAAATATTAACTGTTTGTGTCAGTACACAATCGGTATACAGTGGTACATTTAATTTTTTTAAAAAGGATCATTTCAATTCATTTCATATGATCACATACATCTAAAAATATATAAATAAAATGGACCATAATACACACCAGGAGATGCAGAATAAAGATGGATAAAGATAGATGGATTACTCATTTAGCAAACAGGTGTTTTTAACTTATGCTCACTTGTTATTTACAGTCAGTTTTAATGTAAACCTTTCAGGTTGTCAATGGAGTTCTGGAACTCAGTGTTTAACTTCAATGCCAGGGGCCAGACTACATATTCCCAGATGAGGATTTACTGAATTGTTAATGCTTATTGATACTGAAAACACTGATGTTGCAGTCAAGTACATCAACAGAATTATAGGGGTCTGGTTTCTCTGAGCCAGGAACCCACCCCTGGAAGCACAGGGCATCAGGCAGGGAAGCAGTGTGCAGGGGATCTAAGTCCTCCACAGGTACACACAACCACTTTGGGCAATTCAGAGACACCAATTTGCAAAATCATGTCTTCAGAGTGGAAACCTCGATATATATTCTCTCTCTCTCTCTCTCTCTCTCTCTCAGCACTATATAAAAAATTAAAGAACAGAACTGAAACCGATGCAAACTGGGGTTTGCAGAATCTATACACACACAGCTAGAGGACAGATTTAAACCTGCAAACCAGGAGCTGGGTGCTTGAAATGCTGGCCACTGAGCCACTCGCTTGTGATGAATGAATGATCCGTAAATTACTTTGACATTTTATTTAGAAAATGAGATGGACACAGCTACCCTTGCTGTATATCCAAAAATCCTCTCAAAAGTCTGACAAATATCAAGAGTGGAGTGATAAATCGAAAAGTCTAATTAGCTAGCCAGAAATAGACAATGCAAAACAATCCTAACTGTTCAAATATTGTTTAGGTCAGACATGAAACAGGCAAAATCAAATGATATAATTATCCAAAGACAAATGCTTTCTGAAAGCCATCTTCCTGATCTTTGCATCATGAAGAATCAATATGTGTCCTGCCAGAGCAGAACTTATCATTATGCACTTGTTGTAATTATTGTTCCATTTTCTTTTACAAAAACTGGGGCAATTTATTACATAAACGATCAGGGCCACAATAGCTGAAGAACCAACTTGCATCTCTAGCAAGAGAAGAGCATGAAACCTCATAACACTGGACTACATCTAAAATATTGCATTGTGATTATGAACACTTATTGCCATCAGTTTGAAAACTGTACTGAGATATAGCCTAAACATTTGTTTTCTTGCATTATTGACAATTATAAGTAGTGATGCACTGATAAGGAAATTTCTGGCCAATAATGACAGCCGATTACTTTGAAAACTGACACCAAAAGCGACTCTTTGGGAGTTTATGCTTAAGTTTAAAGGGACACTGCACCAAAATAAAATAAGAAAATTAATTACATTCCAAAAATATGAAAAATTTTGGTAAGAAAACAGCAACTCTGGCATACAACAACAGTCCCAGAGCAGTATATAACTGTATACAACCTTATATATTTGTAACATTTATAACAGAGAAGGGCTGATCATCAAGTGTGATATTACTCGGAAAATTACGGAGTTTATCTTTTGATTTTGCACTGAACTTTCTTTTGCCATCAAACGCTTGCATCACTGACTGACTGATGTCATTCGGCAGCACTGCAGCCTACTTTATTGGAACCGATTTGTTTTTCAGAAACTCTTCATGCTCTTCACTGTCTCACTTTAAGGTGAACAATCAAATTTGTTATTTTGAAATGTTTATTAGTAGAGTAAATTTTAGCAGTGTGATGTTTGCAAAATGCATTTCTAACGTAATTTTCGCTAATGTCAAAATAAGTCCACGCAGCAGGCATTTTTCTAACTGTTCAGTGCGCGGATGTGCAGAACAATATGGGTCACTATTTTAAAAGGAATTATCGGTGGTAAATATCGGCTCATATTTAACCTTTGGCTTATGGGCGATTTTTGCTGTATCAGCTGATTCCGATAGTTGGCCGATACAATTGCTGCATCTCTGGTTATAATGCATCATTTTCACACAAATTCCATTAAGGCATGAGTCTGTTGTTGGTGAAATACATCATTAAACCAATATCAATATCAATATTGTGAAAAATCTCTGAAAACACTGCAATATTATTTTAGAGCCTACCGCCCAGCCCTAGCTAAACTCCTTCCCTGGAATGAACAGCGAGGCAGTCAGAGGAAAAAAATCCTAGCAACAGGACTTACTGTCTGCGTTTTCTACCGTTACGGCC